AACCCCCAACACTGCACATTTTGCATGTCTCCTGCTCCAATGTATATTTTCAATTAATCTTGAACACCTTGGTTAGCTGGTTCAGGTGGGTTTGAATAGGGTTGGAGCCAAACTCTGCAGGATATGGTAATCTTTCGGAAACAGTGTTGGCCATCTCTGGTCAAAGGCACTTTCAATCAAGCTAACTTATATCTGGTCTACAGCTTGGCTAAACTGAGGGAGCGTACCATCGAGAGAGGGGAGGAGTGCGAGAAGGAAGAATGGAAACCTGAACGACCGCTCACTTCAGCCACAGATGTCTGTGCCCAATCCATGCTCTCAGCCCTTCCGCCACAGGAGATTCAGCAGATGATCCAGGAAGTCAAGGATCTGGATGAAGACACGCTAAGGGTGGGTTTAGCTCTGGCTTGGTAATCATAGAGCCGATACAACAAAGTACACGCTGTTGGATGTTGTCTGGTGTTGATTACTTCCACATCCTGCTCCGCAAACCTGAATATGTATGAGAGGTGTGACAGAGGAACAATCGGTTCTCTATAACGAAACAGCATATTTGAAGTGCTCTTAAAGGTCAGTGAGCTTTCTTTTATGTGCTGCTACATTCTGAAGCTCAATTGCTAGCAGAGTTGAAAAAAAATATAAAAAGACATGCTTCTCTTGGTCAAGAGTGCGACTTCCTGACCATGGCAGTGTTGCAATTTTGTTGCACTGTTTTGCATTTATGACTGTTCCCTTTGTTACATTTTCTGTCTGCAGTCAAACAAAGCTGTCTATATTCCTTCAGATTAATGAAGTGATGAGCACTATCTACGTACCCTTAAAAATAATGTTTTGTGCTGTAGGAGCAAAATGCAGAAAAACAGGAAGTGTCATTATTTTGCAGAAATGTCTTGAGGGCATGCCAGCTTTTCTTTCGGTTATATAAATAAGGGAACTGTAAAAGTAATCCAAGATGAGTGGTTAGCTTTATTAGTCTAGTTAGCGGGGCTGCATTATGGACTCAATGAATCAAATAAGCTTTCTTGAATTTTCTATAGTTCATTTTAAATGGTCCTTTTGTGTGACAAGTGATTTTTTTTTTTAAATGTAACATCTTCTATGCAGTCTTTGTCATTTTAGAGGGAGTTTAGCATGTCATGCCAGTAGATAATTTAAATCGAGCCATTTTTTTTAGCTTTAAATCTAACATTTAGCATAAGGCCTTCAAGTCCCTGAAATGTTAGAACCAAATGAAATTATGATTTGTTTAATGATCAAATTACTTTGGTAGTTCTTACAAATAACAGAGTATGCAAAAAAAAAAAAAAGTATGTTTGAATATGCAGTATTATAAAACAGTTAGTGAATATAAATACATGATTACCTGCTATTTCTGCTGGGATTCTGAAGCGTGCATCTGATGGACACTTTACTATCCCATGAGGCCATGGGTGAAGCGTAGAGGCTGACATCATAGGTTAGATGACAATTTCCAACATTTCAGATTCTTATGACAAGCATGCATACATGTAAATCATACTCAATGAAGCAATTTCTTCATAAAATACACAATTTTGGTCCCAAGACAAATTCAGTAGGTGTGCCTTAAAATCAGGATTTGTACTTGAGGACACTTCTGTTAAGAAATTAAAATTTATATTTACAACCAAATAATCTATAAATCATAATTAGACAAGCGTCATCTTTTAAGACCGTGCAAGATGCTTATGTGATTTTGACAAAATAGTTATTAACGAGATTCTTAAGTGCTATTTAACACTAGGGAAGGCAATATCTCTATATTTCTCTCAAAACTGCATGATGTAATGGAGTGGGAACAGGATCCAGCCCGCCTGGAAATCATCAATGTGGCAGCTGTTCTTTACAAAGCAATAAAGCCGTGTTCACAAATGCAGATTGTTCTTCAGCATGTCTAGAATAACAGCTTTGCTAAATGCAGTTCTGCTTACAGTACAGCCACAGATACAAAGGGGTTTTGAATCACGAAATATTCTATAAACAAGTCTGATTTGGATTTCTTAATGTCCATTAGCAACTGGAAGACATCCATGTTGTGATTCTACATAAAGAAGAAGGAGCTGGCTTGGGTTTCAGCATCGCTGGCGGTATTGATCTGGAGAACAAAGCAACTACAGTGAGTGACGTCTCTATATCTCCATAAAGCACACACCACAGCTCATCTACTTCACCTGTCAACAGGAGACACAGCCTCTTCAATTTGGTCATCATTTGCACATGCGTAGATCGGTATTATTTTCTTGCTTCCCTGAAACACAAAATAAGATCTCAGGCAGAATGTCTAAGCTTCAAATCTCTTTCATGAGTGTAATAAATTAAAAATGATGCATTTGGACCAGGTTTGACGTCACTGACAATAATCTTCCTTTTTGCAGTAGGTTTCAAATTTGGTTTTCCACATTAAATGTGAAATCTATGGCAGAAGGGATGATTTTTAGTGAACAAACCACTGAAATCTTGGGAAATTAGTGCACATATAGCTGAAAGTTTGGTCTATTTCTTACATAATATGTCACAACAGACTCAACAGAGGTCCTTTTATGAGCTTAGCAGCGAATATCATCATGCACTTTTGTTGTATGAAAAAAAAATTTGGACATTAGGATGACATGGACATGAGGATGAGTAAATGATGACAAATTTTAATTTCAACAACCGTTGAAACCTTTGGGGTTAGATTTTTTATTTTTTTTTAAATAGAAAATACTTTTGATTAATGATGTTACAAAATATTTCTATTTCAAATAAATGCTGTTCTTTTAAACTTTCTATTAATCACGGTTTCCACAAAAACATTGATAGTAATAATAAATATGTCTTGAGCAAGTCAGCATATATTCAAACAGAAAACAGTTTTATCAATTCTAAAAAATATTTCACAATATTACTGTATTTTTGATTAAATAAATGCAGCCTTGGTAAGCATAAGAGGCTTCTTAAAAAAAAAAATTAAAACAATACTACCCTAAACTTTTAAGATCTTATAGTTACAAACTTCCAGTGGTTCCACTGTAAATGCAAAATGTATACAGTTAATACTAGCAAAAGAATCGTATATATTGATTTTATTTACTGTATATGTTTTTATTTATTTATGTATTTACTGTATCATGGACCTTCAGGTTCACAGGGTGTTTCCCAGTGGTCTGGCTGCTCAGGAGGGCACCATAGAAAGAGGAGATGAGGTGCTGTCCATTAACGGTCAAACACTAAAAAACGTCACACACAGCGACGCCACAGCGATTCTCAGGCAGGCCCGCACCATGAAGCAGGCGGTGATAGTGGTGTCCAAAAACAAAGACCCAGAAGGGAAGGGAGGCGCTAACGCTAACGAGTCCAGCTGCAGCAGTGGGGCAGAGAGCAGCATCACAGGTGGGCCAACATTACTTACGTCAGCACAGAAATGGCATTAATGTTTAATGTCAATGTTTAATAGGGCACAGAAGGAATACAGGAATGTTACAAGAGCTGCATGTTGTGTAATAAAAAACAAAACAAAACTGTACGACTGAAGTCAAATTAAAAGCCCTATTTGAACTGGACTATTTTTCCATGAGGAGAATTCATGTTTCACAGATGGACTAATTCTATCCAAATCTGACACATCAGCTGTTTTTCACAATGCTTCGTAACTAAAGCCAAATTTCTTGTGCTGCCATTATGGACTTAGTTCTTTAAGAGCTGGTGTTTCAAGAATCAAATTTCAGTGGGTTTTATGATATATCTGGATGCAGTCACTATGTTAATAACATTTAGAAAATGAATCTTATCCAAATAGTGCTTAACACAAATATAAATATGCAAAATACGTGTTAATTCATTCTATGGTTTTTGTTTCAAAAAATGACTCTTAGGGGACGATGGAGGTGAAGCTGTAACAATCGAGTTGGAGAAGAATGCAGGTGGAGTTGGATTTAGTCTTGAGGGAGGAAAAGGCTCCATTAACGGTGACAGACCACTAACCGTCAACAGAATATTTACAGGTGAGACTACAACTGAACCTTAAATGAATGATTCACGCAAAAATGAACATTTGCTTAGAGCGTACCCTCAGGTCATCAAAGATGTAAATGAGTTGGTTTCTTCCTCAGGACAGATTTGGAGAAATGTAGCATTACATCACTTGCTCACCAATGGATCCTCTGCAGTGAATGGGTGCCGTCAGAATGAGTCCAAACAGTAAATAAAAACATCACAGTAATCCACACCAGTCAAGTCCAACAATTAATGTCTTTTGAAGTGAAAAGCTACATTGCAACGGTTTATAAATGTTAAAATGTCTTGATGGACTTCACAATATTTATCAGCTTTTTGGACTCCCATTCTGACGGCACCCATTCACTGCAGAGGATCCATTGGTGAGCAAGTGATGTAATGCTACATTTCTCCTTAAAGGGGTCATATGATGCTATTTTAAAGATCATTATTTTGTGTATTTGGTGTAACAGAATATGTTGACATGCTTTAATGTTCAAAAAACACATTATTTTTAAAATACTGTACATTATTGTAGGTCGTCTATGCCCCGCCTCTCTCAAACACGTCGTTTTCAACAAAGCCCCCTCCTTTGACAAGCGCAGTCTGCTCTGATTAGCCAGCTGATCCAGTGCATTGTGATTGGCCGAACACCACAAGCACCTGTCGGAAATGTAACGCCCCTGGCATTGTGCTAATATTTCCACATCGTGACGTAGACATGTGGGGACGTGTTGGAATGAGTTGTTTTAGGTAGGCGTGGTTGACTCTTAACTTTTATAAAGAATATCTCTTTGGATTTGAGACTTAAGTCTTTGCAACTTTACAGATCTTCTTTATGCACCAAGAGCTTGTAACACTCCAAAGAGAAAGGAAAACTTGAAATCGCATCATATGACCCCTTTAAGAGTACTGTAAAAATGTTTTTTCTAAGTGGGAAATAAAACGATTATTGGAGTACACTTCATGAGCATATACCATTTAAGTTTTTCTACTAAAAAAAATCACATCTAATTCAATGCTACTTTGTTGTTTCTTGTAATTAATTGTAAAATTCTGAGCAAAAAGTGTTTCTACACCAAATTAATTTCAGTGTGGCATCAAAATAACCAAAACCTTTGATAAACTAACAAATATGGTGTGGTTTTCTCATTTTGCACAAATCTTTTTGTAAAGTTATGCGGGTGCAGATTACATGTGGGCCTGCAAATTAGAATGTAGCATGAATCATACAATATATACTGTATTTTTTTCTGGCAGGGAGTGACGCTGAGCAGAAGGGGCTGAAGTCTGGTGATGAGGTACTGCAGATACAGGACTCGTCTCTGCAGGGTCTCACACGTTTTGAGGCCTGGACACTCATTAAAGGCCTTAATGATGGGCCGTTTACACTCGTCATTAAGAGAAAAAAATGCGATTAGAGCTAAACTCCACTCAGAAGCACCCAGAAGAAAATACTGTACTTATCTCAAACTTCATTTCAAGCGTTGGGGAAATGCCTCCACTTGCTAAAAAATGTACATTACAAATCAGTGTTTCTTAAAAGCAGGGTTCCCATATGATTTGACCAATGAATTTATTTCATTTAAATTTTTCTTACTGCAATCAAGACTGCAGTCAAAAAGAACAATTTCTATCCAATTAAGTGTTTTAGAGTTGAGCAAGAAAAACCTATACACACTGTAAACCTTTACATGACTTTTAGGTTCCCCCTTCCCCACTTTCATGAGTTTTGCAGGCCTGGAAATCCCATTTCCCTGATATTTCCAGGTTTTCCATGACTGGGGAACCCCGTTGGGATCATTCAGTTGCCTTGATTGCTCCATTTTGCCATTAATGCATATTGACAGTATGACTTTCATATCCTATATGATGTGCATGATGTGCATCACTGCATGATGTGGTACTACATGATCAGGAAAGCTTGTTTTTCTGAGAAGAGTTTTATAGCGCTTCACTGTGCTGGTATAGTACTGTTTTACTGTCACAATCAGGGATTCATTAAAAAAAAAGATACTTTTCAAGTCTGCCTGTTTTGATGCAATGATTTGCACAAGCCTGTAAATAGTTTCGGATATATTTCTACACCATTTCACCAAAGCAGAAACATGTCAACATGTCAACATGTAAAGAACATGTCATGAAGCATTTGTGGCACACAGTTTTCAAGAGATCAGAAATAGAATATTTCAAAAATCTTTTGTCAAATGCTCCCCCTGACAGTACATTGCTCTAGTTTTTCAAAGCCAGAAATAATAAATATATTCCTCTGATGTTTTCAAAAATATATATTATCTAACAGAATACACCTTTGACAGTTTAAAAAAAAAAAAAACTACTGTGCCTCTAGTATTCTGGTCTTGTTAGTTTTTTTCCCCCTTAAAAAGAAAGGCCTTAATATATTGAAACTGTGTCAGAAGAAAGATGTTTTACATGTAATTACTTGTTAAGGTTTGTAATGTTGAAATAAAGTGTGATACAAATGATACATATGGTCATCAGTCATTTTTAATATCTGAAAACAGAATCTAAAAGGAGAATCATACAATGGGTTTTACAAAGTGCAATTTCCCTTGTTTTTGCTTCTTTTAAGTATTAACAACAGTACACACATGTCCCACAGTCAACGGCAGGTGGACATATAATAAACTGCATTGAGCAAAAACACATTTGAATTCAACATGAAATGAGAAATGACCTGATTTTAATGCATATCTCAAGGTCCATCACTGCATGTTATTAAAAATTCTATACTCTGAAAATATACTGGCTTGCTTCGCCGGTTACGAATCCCTCATACAGTTCGACTTGTCCCATCCAATCATCTGCCTCCATTCTGGATTGTACCGCCCACTTTTCATGATCCAATCAATTCCAGGAGGATAAAATCAAGTACCGGCAAATGTTTTATTCTAAATCCATCAGTTTACAGAACTAAAATGACTTGCGAATGACATTTCATGTTGACTTCAAGAAAATTAAAAATCTGGAATAATCAAAAACTCTCACTTGACAGAATTGACAAAGTGTAGGCTATACACTGCTTTCGGAATGTAAATCTGTGTGTATTATTAAAATATACAGAGAACTTTGCACAATACTACTGAAGTCAAGCACACACTCCTTGCCAAACGGATGTAAAATATAGACTCTCAAAATAATCCTGAAATGCACTAGAGCATACTGCTCATTTACAGTATAAAAAAAAGAATAAAAAAAGCACACATCTCCAGGCCATGAGCATGCGTTCACAGTAATTTCACTGACGGCATACAGGCATATAAACACAAACTTCCTACGGGTTGAGACACATGTCAGGAGGACAATCGTGCAGCTAGACCAGGGGTAGGCAAGTTCGGTCCTAGAGAGCCGCAGTCCTGCAGAGTTCAGCTCCAACCCTAATCAAACACACCTGAACAAGCTAATCAATGTCTTCAGGATTACTAATGCCGAGTTCACACTGCACGATTTTCAAACTCGTCGGATCGCCGTTGTTTTCACACTGCGTGACTATCTGGGGTAGCATTCAGTTGCTGCTGTGTTCACATTGCACGATGGATCCGCGACAGGGGGTTTCACACTGCATGACTTCACAATAGGAAGAATCGCCGACAGCTCTGTCTGGTCCGCAAACTACGTTTCACAACAAAACACACGTGAGAAGTGATAAGGAAATAACGTGTGAACCCGTGTGCGTCAGACCGGAGTTCTCCATCGAGACTGTAATTATTAAAAAATATATATATA